TCTCTCTCTCTCTCTCTCTCTCTCTCTCTCTCTCTCTCTCTCTCTCTGTCGTGCCGTTTTCAACTAGTTAGCAGCGAATGAAATTTTTGCCTTTTTCTTCTCCCCCTTTTTCTTCCTTTCCCTTCTGAAATCGAGTTCCGATTGTCTCGCGGGAGATCGATTGAAAGCCGCGCGCGCTTCCGCCCGTCCCGAGGGTTCCGCGCGTAATAAATGAAGTCCTCCTTAATAGCGACTATGTCGCGAAATTAAGAAAAATAAGTACCCCCAGGCGTCGCCGCTTTGAGAAAGAGCTCGTCTCGCTGCCCAACTTTCGAGCGAACTTCTGTCGGTCGCTTCTTGTGTTTCGACAAACTGTGAAAGTTAAATAGTTACGAATTGCTTACGCCTCGACTGCACATCGTATTTCTCTCTCTTTCTCTCCCTCTCTCTCTGCATCTCTCTCTCTTGCACTCTCTTTCTCGCGTCCTAAATCCTACCTTCGATTTGTAACATCCTTTATTGCGAATGGATTTCACGGAGAACAATAAAATCTCAAACGGCCACGTTTTTTCTCTCTCTCCCCCTCTCTCACTTTCTGCTCGATGGAACTAATTTTTCTATCACTTAGAGCACCGCCATGAATTCCTTTTAAAGCCGCGCGCCCCGAACAGCTATGAGAGAAATCGAGTAGTTAGGGATTAAATTAAGTCAGCCTACAAGGGCTTGTACTTCACTAATATACTCGAAATCTTTTCGTCGCAATCGTGATTTTTTTTTATCACCATTAAAGGTGTCGGAAAATCATCAGTAACATTTGTGTTACTGTTCAAAGAAACCTGTATATTGTAATAACGGAATTAAGTAGATATAGTACAGGTTACATATTTTTCCACACTAAGACAAAAAATATCTAAAAGATAAAAAATATTTTTTTGATAGATACTATAATATTTGTTTAAATAAAAAAATTCAGGTACTAATAACATATTTACTTAAATAAAAATTCCTTCACTTAAATAAAATAAACAATTGCTTTCATGAAGAGAGATAAAGATTTTCTTAATGTTTTAAAAAAAATATGTTTTCTTATCTGAACAATATCTGATATTGATACAAATGAATATTATTAGTACCCACCGAATAAATATTTGCTATTTTTAGAATAATTTCTCTCTCAGTGTGCACGTCTGCATTTCTCCGCTGTGGTCACAATTGATGTGAAAAATGAAAAGACACAGGCATAAATGGCAAGTTGATTTCTCGCTGCTTGTACAAGTCCGCTTTGTGCAGCGTCATAAAAATGTTTGTAATCCACGTGAGCCGACTGGCCGGCGCTAATCGCTGTGGGCGGGTGTAGGAACGAACGCTCCCCGTGTATTTCTGTCGCGCGCAAGGAAATCCTCTTAATTCACGAAAAATAGAAAATTATGAGAATTGCATGCTCCTTCACGTAGATTTAATTCGCATTCTTCTTAGCGAGGTACCGCTGATTTGCGACGCGCTCCCCCGGCCGCGGACAAACATTCCGAAAAGCTATGGAGAACTCGAGAATTACGGACCTCTTCGAGTGAACTTAACGCGTATATATCAGCATCCTGCTGCTAGCGAGGATTCTTCCAACGAGTTCACACCTGGAAGCGGCTGAAAATTTCCACGCCCGGCTCCTCACCAAGTTTCTCAGGCGTGTGTCACACGCCTGAGAGTTAAAAATATATATCGAGTTAACGTGCATCTTTCGATTGGGAATTTCTCCAAATTTTTACGCCAAATGTAACGAGAGAAATAAATGGCTGACGAATTCGTTGCTTACTTTATTTCTCTAACATTTCGCTTTCTTTCAACCAAACCCCCAATTTTTATCGCCTCTCAATAAACGTCGTAAGATCACAGTATACAGAAATGTAGGCGCATAGAAAGATAGTTCGACCTAAGCTATACCGTATCTACTTAATTCCATTACAATATCTCTTTCAACGTATATCACATTGAGAGGAAAAAATCTAAGAAATATATTAGACAGAAAATAGATAGATAATATTTATTCGGTGGACACATATTTCCTTGTACCAGTATAAAAATATTTTGCCAATAAGAAAAGTATATTTTTTTTTTAAAACTTAATAGCTTTTCATGAAAGCTATTGTTTATCTAATTTAAATAAAAGAATTTAGA